TGACATGAGTTTTCTCTAATCATGAGAACTTATAATTTGTTTCATCTTCCAAGTAAAGGGGATTTTCAAAGTAGGTCAGAAGGATTTCCTTCAAGCTTAAATTATTCCTCCCATTCTAACAACTCCCATTTACAACAAAAGGGAATTAAAATGATTATTTTGCTGATAGAATGCTTCCTTAGACTAGTCTAGAGCTTTGAAGGTTTCACACCGTACCAGTAATTTCCAGGGGCTCTCTCTCACTATCATTGAGTTGATTCCAATTCATAGTGACCCCACAGGGCAGAATAGAACTGCCCCTGTGGATTTCCAAGACTATAACTCCCTTTTTTTAAAATCACTTTATTGGGAGCTCTTACAGATATTGTAATAATTCATAATTCAATTAGATCAAGCATAATTGTACAATTGTTGCCACCATCAGTTTCAAAACATTTTGTTTCTTCTTTAACTCCTTGATATCAGCTCCCCTTTACGCCCTCCCCCCCTGCCCTAATCCCTAGGAGCCCTTATCTTTATCTTATATACCATATACACTCGAGTATAAGCCGACCCGAATATCAGCCAAGGCACCTAATTTTACCACAAAAAGGCATAAAAAATGTGCTGAAAAACTCGGCTTATACTCGAGCATATACGGTATTATTGATATTATATTCTGTGTCTTACATCATCCAAAATATCAGTTCACCCACAATTCTGTTATTCATTCCCCTAAATGAGATTATACAGTCATCATTGTTATCAGCACCCCTCCCCCACTTCCAGTACCCTCAGTAACTCCCATGACTGTTTCTGAAGGGTTATCTTTCTTGACTTTCATGCACCAAACGATCTTCATTATGCAAGTGAACACAATCATGTCTAACAAGATTAATGAGGTAAAAAAAGAACCAAAGCAGTGAGGGAAGAAATATTAAAAAACTAGAGGATCATTACGTGCTTCATCAGTGTTATATCACAACCTAGACTTAACATCCCTTCTGAGTGGCCCATCAGTGAGGGACTGTCCAATTATCTTATGGGTGGGTTTTGGGTCCCCACTACATCCACACCCCTACACACCAATTTGGTTGCTTGTTTTTGAACTTCTGATACCTTTTCCCGTTTACACCTCATGATCACACAAGCAGGTGTGCTTCTTCCATGTGGACTTTGTTGCTTCCCTGCTTGATGACTGCTTGTTTAACTTCAAGCTTTTAACACCCCAGATGCTATATCTTTTAATAGCTGGGCATCATCACCTTTCTTCACCACGTTTGCTCATGCACCCATTTTGTCCTCAGCGATCATGTCATTGTATTATTATTGGATAATAATACAATCCCGCATTATTAGAACAAACCATGCTTGTACTGAGGTAAGATTTTAATAGAAGCCCAAAGTCTGCTTCCTTGTTGTATTTACATACATACATGTGTGTATTTGTCCATATATATTTGTGCATATATATATTGGCAAATACACCTATATTTATATATTTACACATACACGTATCTATATTTATACCTACTTTTATAACTTTTACTTTCTTCTTCCTTCCTCTTTTTCTTTAAGACCATAACTCCTTATAAGAATGGTCAAGGTAAACAGCAAAAACTCATATTGTTAACTGCTTTCTACATACCTCAGATTTGCATGTATTATCACAATTAATGCAGCTGTGACCCCAGGCACCTGCCAGGAGTCAGACTTCTACCTTCTATCATGTTATGGCCCTGACCTTTATTAAGGATTATTTACAACAAATGTCTCTAGAAAATGGCATATTCTTTAGCTGTAGGCCAGTATCGGTGTTATTTATTGATAAAATAGGTTTGGTTGTCTGCTCCCATAAAGCGTCATAGTTCCAGAAACCCAAATACGGTGGCTGTGCGTTAGAATAGACAGATGGCAGTGGATCTGGTTTTAGTAGGTATCTATTGTGAACCTCCCCAGCCACAGAAGGTGAGGCAGTCTCTTCCCTTTAAGGTTTACAGTCTAGGAAACCCTATACAGTATATTAGAGCTTAAATTCTGAGCACTAAGTTGGTAGAACGTTACATTTTACAGTGGGAGCCCCAAATCTAGCTTTGAGTGTCCACATAGATTCAAACTCCATTGACTTCTTTCTGACTAATGACTTCTTTCACTAATGTGAAAAGATTTGCCTTTGGATAAAGTGGATCACTCTTTCACCCCTAGCCATCTCAGCGAAGGATTGTGCCTGGGTGTGCTCTTGATTGAAATTGGGGTGGTAAGGTTACACAGTCATGAATCCCACCCTGCCTATCTTGGTCCGAGGACCCTAACCCAATCTTGTAGCCTTTTTTATCTGCAAAAATGTACAAATGCAAATCATAGTCTCTTTCCTGTTTCTTAGTTCTGTTCACAACTGTGATGATTGATCTGCTACCAATCATAATTCAGTAACAGTTTCCTGTTCTCCATACTCTATTTAAGTGATCATGTTTTTGTGAACCCTTGGACACCATACCAGCCTTGTGCTGATAGTCTCCTGCATCCTAAGGATTTGTCTTGTCCTGGTAACAATTTAACATAAATGCCTCTATATACTATTTTTGCATTTGGGGTGTTCTTTGTACCCCTAGAACAATAGTATTCTTATATGTTGGTGTTAATTCAAAGACAGAAGGTTCGGGTGGGTTTGGGAGCGTCTCTGTCATCAATATACAAGCTATTATACGAAAATTTTCTTTGAAATTTCATGACAAGACTCAGTGCTGAGTCTGAGCCCCTGACTTGCCCTACATTATCAGTACACCTTTCAGAATTTCATTTCCTGATATATGGCAATAAAATCTGCCTCGTCGTAAAAGAGATTAAGGTGTACATAACCCTGCTCAAATTATCTGATGCTCAGGATTACATCTTACCTTCCAGAGCCTTCTTTCCTGCCCCCATGTCCGAACTTCCCCGGTTTTCTCTCCTTGGTAGGAAATGGATTTGACTTTGAATGGTTAGAGGGTAAGGCATTGTGAACATTGGTACAGGCATTCCTCTATTTATAAGACACTCAGTTCCCATGACTCCATTGTAAGTTCATTGGAAATACACTGTTTCCATTATTATTGGTTTCATTATCAGTAGCCTTATAAATACCAACTTTAAACATCTGCAAGTGAACATCTGAGAAAAACATCAGCAAATACCACACTGCAACATTATATATAGTGCATATTACTAAGAGAGAAAAATTGGTTCCAAGTGTCATTCTTAGTAACTTGAATACATCTTAAATTGGAAATACTTGTACTAGAACCAGTATTCTTGTCTCAAATTTTGAAGCTCTGTCACTTAAACAGTGCTTTTATCTGGAGAATGAAAAATTTTATTTTAAAATATACTTTGCTTATGCACTTTTTACTCAAATATTAAATGCCCTAAGTGCCAAAACTGGGGTTTAGATTGTTCAAAATGTTAGCACGCTCAACCGTTCATCAAAATATTGATTATTTTGATTGATTATTCAGATCCAAAGTTGCTTCTGGAGAAAGTCTGAAAATCTACTGTCCTAAGATACGAAAGAGACCCTAAATCTCAAATGTAATGTAAGCAGCACGTTGACTAAGTGTTAAACAGGAAAAGGCAGACACATCACCTGGGTGAGGGGACCATTAGCCTAAGGTCCTAATGGTATCCAGGAGCTTTCAGAGATTCAGAGAGTTAAAAAGGACACGAGAGGGCAATGGAAATTGTCACAGAAGCATGAATGGCAGAAGATCAGTACATCTCAGTTACAGGTGGGACTACAGAAGTGTTGATGGGACCACGATTGGGACACATACATTATGTCAAACAGAACAACTTA